GTGCTCCATGGAGGCCAGGATGGCTAAGCTTCATCTCTCATACTTTGGACATATTGTCAGGAGGAAACAGTTGCTGGAGAAGGATGTCATGTTGGGTAAGGTGGAGCATCAGAGAAAAAGAGGAAGACCCCTAATGAGATGGATTGGACAGGTGACATCATTGATGGACTCAATTGTGGCAGCGGCAGTGAGGTTGGCCCAGGATCAAACATTGTTTCGTTCTGCTGTGCATGGGGTCGCTATGAGTCGGTTCTGACTCAATGGCACCTGACTACAACAACATGTTTATCCCAATTAATACAATCTTGTAAAATTCTTCTTTATAATCATGTAAAATTTTCTTTCAGAATCCTGATTCTATCGATGTATTCACTATCCTTCTCAGTGGCATGTATTCCACAAGGTGACAAAACTTCTTTCATGTTTTATTGCAGTCAGTGAAACAGGCTATATGCACAGCACTCTTGAACCCACCACTAGGATCTTCCTTCTGAGGTGACACCATCAGCAGCTTTGTATGGGATCAGACAGATAGCAGACTCATCTTTGTCCTTAAATCCAAGTCTTATTTGTCATGCCCCAAAGTACAATGAGTAAAATGTCTACCATCCTGAAAAGGTTTCTAATATAGAGTTCATATTCTCGACAGTGTATGGACTCTCTATCCAGCCACCTTTAAAGAGGAACTTCTTCTCCATGTCTGTTTCACATGTCCCAGATTTTTAATGCCTTCTTTGATTACTGGTGTGGCTCTGTAGGATAAGCACTGGACTGCTATCTGCAAGGTTGATAGTTGAAACCCACTGACTTCTCCTTGAAAATTTGATACAGTGTCATTATGAATCAGAACCAGCTTGAAAGCATTTAACAACATGCATCCTGGTGTAGCACTGTAGGATAAGCACTGAACTGCTATTCTCAAGGTCGGCAGTTCAAAACCACCAGCTACTTCTTGGAAACCCTATACAGGGTCGTTATGAGTCAGAACCAACTGGACAGCACTTAACAACAACAATGAATGCACATGCACAACAAAAAAAATGGTAAGAGTGGCACTTTTTAAATTTAAAAATAATATAGGATTAAATATTAACTAATTTAATCCTCACAACAACCTTATGAAGTAAATTGTTATTAAAAACAGTGGCATTTTAATGATAAGGAAGCTGAGGCCCAGAGAGGGTTGTTGTTGTTGTTGCTAAGTGCGGTCAAGTCAGTTCTGACTCCTAGTGACCCTGTAACAGGATTTCCAAGGACCAGCTTTTCTGTTGTGTTTGAAACACCAAGCTTGTGGTTAGTAGTCCAGTGCTTATCTAATAGTGCCACACCAAGGTGGCTGGCACAAATTCATACAACAGATAAATGGACTTAAACTCAAGAAGTCTGGCATTTAATTTAGGATACTCTTAACAAATGTATAAATTAATCTGCTTTACAAAACGCACACACAAACATGTAACAATAAAACATCTTAGATAAATGAGAGACCAAGCAATCATTTTATAAAACAATTTATCACAATGAGAAAATCATCTCTAGTAACAAAAATCATCAATAACTTTTTTTTTTAATTAATAATTAACTGAGACAAAGAAAGTAAGCCAAGGGTTAGGACTAATGTCAAGTAAAGATCAGTTAGAATGAATGTGTATCTCAGGTATAATGTTCACATTATTAGGACAAGTACACATGTAAGACTATTTTTTCATGTATTCATTTTTTTTCTCTGAATAGTGGCTAGAGTTAGAGGGGAAACAAACCCCAAACTATCAGATAGAAAAATTGTAAAAGTAGAGAGGCTAGACTAAGCATCATAGCAATAGCAGGGTTTCCCCATGAGCAGAGGAACTTGCCTCCCACTACTCCCAGAACTTGTCTTAAAGTACCCCTCTGGAGCCGCAAGGCCCATAGTTCTGATGTCATCATTAGCAATACTATTGCTATTAGTTCTGCTGTGCACAAAGAGAAAGACATAAAATAATTGATACCAAATTGTAAAGGGCTGCATGCGACTCTTGTTTCTTCTAGAAACACTGTCTTATTAAACAAAATATAACTTCAAATGAGGGAGCTTTTGTCAGGGAACTACATTCAGAGATGAGGCAGGGTTAAAGGAACAAATGGGGATATTAAGGCTCAAGATAAAAATATCAGTGGAAAGCTAACATCCATATGGCTGCAGGACCACAGGAAGGAACAGTGTTACCAAATAGAGCACTTAGAGCTTCTTGTAGAGGAGAAGCAGCTACTGGTCCACACTAATTTCTGCTCTCCTCACCAATCTCCTGCCAGTGCTTCCCAATGGCAGGCCAGAAGACAAGGGGGCCTGGGTGACACAGTCAGCCCCCGGAGCACAGAGCAGGGTGAAGACGGGTAGAAAGTGGACCTCGAGAACAGAAAATAAGGAGCACAATGTTTCTTTCGAAGATGGAACTGAGTCACTGAAAGGAAAATTAACATGTTTCTTGTCATAAAGGAAAACCCAGACCAAGATAAAGGCCCTACTTTTTCTCTGTTCTCACTGACTTTCAGTAGCCTGAAAGCTGCAGAGAACCACAACATCTCAGAGACTATCCCTTCAGAGAAATCCCTTCAGGCTCCTTCCCAGTGAAAGGTGGTGTTACAACATGGCCCAGAGTGGTCCACTTTTCTTCAGAAATGGTGAGGATGCATGCGACTAGAATGACTCAATCGTCTGCCTGGGTTCACCCAAGAAGTTTTAATGAATCACTCATTTGGGTGTTATTCTCTCAGCAAGCTCTTTGCACACATCCTATTCAGTGTATATCTGTTTGATTCATGAAGGTGACTCATCAGAGGACGTGGACCTGAGCATGGTTTATCAGGCAGCATCTCATGGAGATGTCAACGCTCTGACGGAAGTGATTCGGGAAGATCCTTCAATCCTAGAATGCTGTGACACTGAAGGTGAGAGATGCTTGTATATTTTAAATCCTACAGAATGCACCGCTGTTTCCTTTAGAGATGAGCTTCGGAGATGAACAATGTTGATAAATTAGTCAAGAAACCACTTTGATCCTGGAGAGACAAAGTGTATTCTGTCTGTGGCTATGTGCAGATAGCTTAACGTATTTACACTGAGAGTCTTGGACACAAAACTACATATTCTTTTACATCATCATTTATAAGGAAGTCAATCAAGTTTGTTTCCAGCTTCAATGATTAAATAGACCCAGTAGTTAGAAAAGGGGATATGTAGCTATTAAAGTCAAAGAGCAAGGAATTCTGCTTCCAGAAAGATGGAGAAGATATATTCTTCATTCCTCCCAACTAAAATACCTGGACATTATACATAAAATAAACATAAGACTCTGGAAGGGGGACAGAAAAAGGAAAACTAGCTAGGACCTTTGTCCCCAAAGATTCATAAATCCAGTAAATTCCCTGGATTTTCTTCTTGCCTCATATGTTACAGACTTGGAGTTGAAGAAGCTAGTAAGTCAGAAACACCAACAAACCCAGACAAGTAAACCTCCAGCAAAAGGCTACTCTCTCTAGTTAACAGACCAGGAAATGAGGAACTTAGCAAGATAGAAAAGTTAGATACTAACCACTCACCTCCAGTCTTGGTGTGGTGCTGTAAGATAAGCACTGTACTGCAAGATTTGTTTGAACCACAAGGTCAGCAGTTCAAACTCACAAGCCACTCCTTGGAAACCCCATACAGAGACGCTATAAGTAGGAACCAACTCAATCACACCTAACAACAACTACTACTCCAGTCAAACAATACAAAACAAGCCTGTGGCCCATCCCATCCATGCCAGTGAAGACTAAGTTGGGACCCTATGCTTCCTCGCCAACCTGGTGACAATGAGGCATCCCTTGCACTCCCTGTTGGGGTGGTGTCAGGGAGAGTTAGGACTTTCTCCACCAACACACACACCACATGGTTTGAGTGGAAAGTATGTGGAGAATGGTAAAAAGGCATTGCTATCCTCTATCAAGGAGCTATCAGTGGATGCTTACTAGGGAAGTGGAGCTCCCACACCTGCTTAGCAGTACTGAAGAGTCCCCTCACTCAGAACTCTATGGAAGTCAAGTAAGAAAGCTAGACTTCTAATTCTGACAAATACAGTACCCCACCACTTCTCCTGTGGAGCGGTGCAAGCATCGGTTCAAATAAGATCACAATGTTGTTGTTGTTGTTAAGTGCCGTCGAATCGGTTCTGACTCATAGCAACCCTGCATAGGGTTTCCAAGGAGCAGCTGGTGAGTTTGAACTTCTGACCTTGTCATTCAAACTGACCTTGTGGTCTAGTGCTTTATCCCATAGTGCCACACCAAGACTCCAAATTTCCAAGCTTCTGTTGAAAATCATTGTCATACCAAGAAATAAGAATATCTCAAACTGAATGAAAAAAAAAAAAAAACAACAGGATAAATAATAGATGTTAGAAAGACTTTTAGCCATGATAACATAACTTTTTTTTTTAAAAAAAACTTTTATAATGAGCAAATTACCAGCATGTTTGAAATAAATGAAAAAATAGAAAACCTCAGCAAACTTTGAAGCCCAATTTAGAGATGAAATCCCTATCTAAACCTCAGAGATGTCTCACAAGGGATTATTTTTCAATTCAGAAATACTTGTTCCATAATCATTCAATTATGCATTTCAAAATTATTTTCACATTTTCTAATTTCTAGGTATAGCATTAGGTGCTAAGGATACAGTGATGCTCAAAAGAAAGTGTGGGTCCTCCTCTTTGGAACTTAGAACTTAGAAAGAAGGCAGATTTTAAACAATGATAACTCCTAATAAGAGATCACTATAAAATGTCTTAAGGAGCTCTGGTAGCGTAGTGGTTACGAATCGGGCTGCAAACCTTAAGGTCAGCTGTTCGAAACTACCAGCCGCTCCGCGGGAGAAAGATGAGGCTTTCTACTCCCGTAA